CAAAATCCAAAACTCACGCTAAACATCCTTGCGGCCGATAGCGTACTTTTGACTCGATAACACCGCTACTGTTACTACGCTCACATGGAGCAGAGACGCTCTCCACAGCCCCACGCACACGGGGGCAAGGAACATTCAATTGCTCTGTCTGTGGGAAGGCATTTTCATGGTCATCAAGTCTTAAGAGACACCAGAGAACACCACGGGTGAGAAGCCATTCCTGTGCTCTGTGTGTGGGAAAACATTTGCACCTCATCACATCTTCAGAGTCATCAGAGAACACACACGGGCGAGAAGCCATTCCTGTGCCCTGTGTGTGGGAAGACATTTGCACAGGTATCAAATTTCAAACTCACCAGAGAACACACACGGGCGAGAAGCCATTCCGTGCCTGTGTGTGGGAAGACATTTGCAACTCATCACATTTCAGAGTCATCAGAGAACACACACGGGCGAGAAGCCATTCCTGTGCCTGTGTGTGGGAAGACATTTGCACACTCATCACATCTTCAGCGTCACCAGAGAACACACACGGGCGAGAAGCCATTCTTGTTGCCCTGTGTGTGGGGAGGCATTTGCACACTCATCAACATGAACAGGCATCAGAAGGTCCACAATGAATGGAAACTGAAATCAAAAGCTGAAATTCAGGTGCTGCAATGAGTCCTGAAGAAGTTTCCACCTTCGATCCATGCAGTTGGATCCCGAGAGATGGCTGGATGTAATGGAGTGGCTCGACAGTCAACCAGAGAGCTCGGGGTGACTGAAAAAATTACATCATGTGGTTATATCTATTAAGCCGTATCGATAACTTTTGTGTGTAATTTTGACCATTTTAGTTTTACAGTTTTTGTGAGAGTTTATTGGCGTGCACAGTGGTGGTTTGTAATGTTATCGGATTACTTGCAGAAGTGGTGTGATGAACACTGGTTGTGAGACTGTTCAATTGTAGTCGTTAAGTGTTCCTGTTGAGCTGAAGTTGGAATGCGTCTGTAGGTACATCTTTACTCAACATTTTAACGTTTCAGTTTTCAAGTATAAAAACATCGACTTTAGATAGCCGATTTCAGGATGTACATTGATGACGCGTTCGTTGATATATGGCCTTGACTTCAACATAGACGCACAGTTAACAAATTTGGTGAACTAATAAGGAAATGCTTTGGTATTCCTGGAACGGAAATGGTTTGCATCCTACTGGAAATGTGTGAACATAGGACATAATACATATTTCCTTCGAGTTTTGACATAAAAATGATTGCAGATTAATAAAAAGTATTTTTAACAAATGTTTGTCCGGTCTTTATTTTATAATGTTCCTAGCAAAAATATGAGAGAATTTCAGGTGGAGGATCTCCGTCACACAAGTGTGCCTTAACCGGCAGCATCTTGGCTGTCTACCCGTTAACACGTGTTCCTTGAGGGGAAAGGTCCCCGTAGTTAATCTTCATCAACGTACCAGTCCCAAATCCCGAAGTATGTCGGGGATAAACTGTACTCTATAAAATGTAAACTGTTATACTATACACGACTAGCAGTCGCCGCCCGCTTCGCGGGCGGTGTGTATATACTTGGTTGGTGGGGAGTTGAAAGTGGCTGGACACAATAGACATGTTTTGGGGATTGTTTTATGTTTATTTTTGTGAGGTTATATGAATTTTTATGAGACGCTCAATCGACAATATTAAAGAATGCAACTTATTCAAATATAGAATGCAACTTATTGAAATATCTGGCGATACACGATATTCTTCGTGTACACTCCGTCTTCCTCCTCGTCGTCAGGTCCCTCAATAAGCGCCTTGATGTTGGATCTTGCCGTGACTCGCGATAGTGCCACGTACAGTTGGCCGTGCGAGAAACATGGCGTTGGTAGATATAATCCCAGGTTGTGAACAGTTTGCCCTTGCGCCTTGTTGATGGTCATCGCGAAGGCTGGGACAATGGGGAACTGTTTGCGCCGAAGTCGAAATGGGAAGTCCTTCGTGTCGTCGTCGCTGATGAAGATGATCCGAGGGATCAACACCTCCTTACCGTTATGGGTTCCTGTCATGATAGTCGCGCGAATGGCGTGTGGCTTCATTTCCACGATGCGAAGCCGTGTTCCGTTGCACAGGCCAGCGTCCGGGTTCAAGTTGCGCATCATCATCACTGGGATGCCTTTCTTGAGGATCAACTTGTGTGGCGGAACCCCGTTGATGTTCACCGAGTTAAGGAGCTCTGTCTCAAAGAATGCTGACCCTGCTCTCTCGTCGTCCTCAACCAAATCTGTAGACAGGTACACTTGTGGAGCTTCTCTGAGGCGATCCGCGACAGCCTCATTCACTCGCTGCACAGCGGCGTTGGTCGGCGTCAGAATAGTGCGGCGAGCGAAGTAGTCGTTCGTTGCCACCGTAGGGTAATTCAATTCATCTGCACTGTACATGGCATCGACAATCCTCTTCAACCCGAGTGGAACGGGCAGATGACTGCCGTCCTCATCTCCGTCGATGTCTGGGTCGTATTGAGGATTGTCGATCACCATGGCACGCGGAATCTTGATGCAATCCGGACCGAGGTCTGGATCAACTTCATGCCTACCCTCTCCGACTTCCAAAAGAAAATCTGAAAAGGCAGCAAGTTCTGCGGCTGATTCTTGGTTCTCTGCACACTGGACTCTCATCTTCACAGTCAGATGAACTTGCTTGAAGTGGGACCACAGGTCGGACGACTTGAAACACGCATCCACAGTATCAGCTGGTGTTCCTTTCTTGACAACTGGAAGAATCTGTCGAAAGTCACCGGACAGGACAACCACTTTGCCTCCAAACGGTTCATGCAGATTGTCCAAAATATCGCGAAGCGTGCGATCCACCGCTTCAAACGCAAACCGGTGCGTCATTGGGGCTTCATCCCAAACGATAAGACTTGCCTCCTTGATAAATGCTTTGAGCTTGGACTGTTTTCGAATGAAGCATGTGGATATGTTCGTCGGTTTCAACGGGATCTTGAACGTGGAATGTGCGGTACGGCCGCCTGGAAGCAGCAGCGAGGCAATGCCGCTGGAAGCAACAGTAATCGCAATCTTGCCTTGAAGACGTATCTTCGCCAGCACATGGTTGAGCAGCGTGGACTTCCCCGTGCCGCCCGGACCATCGATGAAGAACAGCTTTTGATCGGGTTGACTGTCTTCGACTGAGCCAACAATTTCGTCGTAGATTTCTGTCTGGTTCGTGTTGAGTCTGTCAGCATCTTCTACGATGTCTTGTAGCTCGTTTCTATCATATCCTTCCACTTCGCGGCGGATATGGTTCTTCGCAAGCAGCGAGTCCAAGACCAAGTGTGGGTACTCGGAAAGCTGCGGGAGGTCGTCAAAGTCCGACAGAGCCATCCCACCTGCCGTGAGGAACTCGTGGAGGCTGTGAAGGGTCTTGAACTTTACCATTTGTTCTTTGTTGGTCAGCTCGCGGTACTGGTACTCGTAATCGCGAGCCAATTCGTCGTAGAATTTATCCCAGAGATCCTTCGTATCTGCTGGCATGGAATACAGCAGAATCGTAGCGAAGAGTTGACGAAGCTGGTACGGCATCTGAAAGAGCGAGGCTTCTTCCAGACACGCAACCCATTCGCGATCGCTCTCAAGGTAGCCTGCTCGCATTTGATCAACTCTGATATTGTATACTCTCACATGTTAAGCTCTAACATAGTGAAACATAATAGTATAACCTATGAACTACAACCTATCCATTGTAACGTTGTAAAAGAATATTACCCATTGGGTTTCACTCCCTCGTCGAGAAGGCCGCTCTCTTCCTTTTCTAAAGTAACATGCTAATTTCTCTGCATTCACTTTAAATCGAGGACGAAACTTTTCCATTTATTCAAAATAAGCGCACAATTACACACTGAGATGCACTTACATATTCATGCATGAAGCACAATGGGCACATTACTCTTCGGTATGTTAATAGACATGCGGATTGTGCCTTCCAAAATTAACAATCGAATGCAAATATCCTGAAAGACAAAGGATTGGATCCTAGGGGGGAGTTATAAGGCGGCTCAGAAGCAGAGCTCAATGCCATTTCGAGAGGAAACTTGATGAGGTTGGACGCTCGACTCGTCGCTCTGCTGATCGCCCTTCAACCGCGAGACAACGCAGCCTGGCGAGCACAATCGCATTCAAGTTTTAGAATAACAATATGGCCGTATTAGCCTTTTTACTGTGCTTGAATGTATGTTATGTGCAAATGCAAATCGTTAGTCGTAATGCGAGGGAGGGGTTAAGAGGTGCACATTTAATCCAGTGTTACGATTTATTTTAGCATCATATTTAAGGACACTGTTGTTGATAAGAATTCGTCTGGACATGGCACGTGCCTTGTTCTACTCGATCAACCAAAATTAGTACAATGTCGGTCATACAGGAGTGTGATTTCATTCATGAGTAGTATTCACAGAGCCCCGATAACACTAACCTGCCTAAACAAAGTAATCTTGAGTGACGTAATTCTCAGCTCAGACATGATCATCGCAATCATTTCCAAAGACGTGTGGGGTCCTGCGAGAGCAGGTCCCGACAACAAACAGCTGGACAGCAGAATCGGAAGTAGCTGCGTCGCCTCGAAATCTGCTGCTGTTGTGGTTTCTGCTGTAGTTGCTTCTGTTGCTGTTATATACGCAGGGAGGTGGTGTTCAGTGATGGGATGACGCCTTTGATCAAATACTCTGATCAAACGCACCCGATTGACGCTCTTGATCGTCGCATTTGATCAAAATACGATTGCCTGTTATAGTTGGATTATAATCGCATAAGAAGCATTAGAATCGCACTGTGCTCATATTAGAATCAAACTGTGGTCGTACGTATGTTAATTTAATATTCGAACCGGGGGTAGGATATGCAGGATTAGAATCGAATTACAATCATTTGAATCCCACGAGTCGAATTAGAATCACACTGTCCACTGTTGGCTGAATGTGTCGTATCAATGGAATCGAATAGATATACATATAGAGTATAATCACAATCACACATTATTACATTTATACAATACACATGATTTAAAAAACGTATTTAAACATTTCTATTGCTGTGATAAACGCAGGGAGGTGGTGTTCCGTGATGGGATGACGCCTTTGATTAAAGCCTCTGATCAAACTCACCCGATTGACGCCCTTGGTCGTCGCATTTGATCAACTCTGATATTGTATACTCTCACATGTTAAGCTCTAACATAGTGAAACATAATAGTATAACCTATGAACTACAACCTATCCATTGTAACGCTGTAAAATAATATTACCTATTGGGTTTCACTCCCTCGTCGAGAAGGCCGCTCTCTTCCTTTTCTAAAGTTACATGCTAATTTCTCTGCATTCACTTTAAATCGAGGACAAAGTTTTTCCATTTATTCAAAATAAGCGCACAATTACACACTGAGATGCACTTACATATTCATGCATGAAGCACAATGGGCACATTACTCTTCGGTATGTTAATAGACATGCGGATTGTACCTTCCAAAATTAACAATCGAATGCAAATATCCTGAAAGACAAAGGATTGGATCCTAGGGGGGGAGTTATAAGGCGGCTCAGAAGCAGAGCTCAATGCCATTTCGAGAGGGAACTTGATGAGGTTGGACGCTCGACTCGTCGCTCTGCTGATCGCCCTTCAACCGCGAGACAACGCAGCCTGGCGAGCACAATTGCTGAGTCGACAGTTAGGCGACTTTGCGTCGGGAGAGTTCGTGGCGACATCTTCAGACGGGTTACAGACATCGATATACCGTGAATCTCCAAGTAAGTGTCTATTTTCGCGGAAAAACTCTTAAACGTGTTCGTCGTCAAATTAGCGGGATTTTTTTGCGTCTCTGTTAGACGCGAGTGTCGTTCTTGTTTTAGCAGTTAACAAAATCCAAAACTCAACGCTAAACATCCTTGCGGCCGATAGCATACTTTTGACTCGATAACACCGCTGCTGTTACTACGCTCACATGGAGCAGAGACGCTCTCCACAGCCCCACGCACACGGGGGCAAGGAACAATTCAATTGCTCTGTCTGTGGGAAGGCATTTTCATGGTCATCAAGTCTTAAGAGACACCAGAGAACACACACGGGTGAGAAGCCATTCCTGTGCTCTGTGTGTGGGAAAACATTTGCACACTCATCACATCTTCAGAGTCATCAGAGAACACACACGGGCGAGAAGCCATTCCTGTGCCCTGTGTGTGGGAAGACATTTGCACAGGTATCAAATCTTCAAACTCACCAGAGAACACACACGGGCGAGAAGCCATTCCTGTGCCCTGTGTGTGGGAAGACATTTGCAAACTCATCACATCTTCAGAGTCATCAGAGAACACACACGGGCGAGAAGCCATTCCTGTGCCCTGTGTGTGGGAAGACATTTGCACACTCATCACATCTTCAGCGTCACCAGAGAACACACACGGGCGAGAAGCCATTCTTGTGCCCTGTGTGTGGGGAGGCATTTGCACACTCATCAAACATGAACAGGCATCAGAAGGTCCACAATGAATGGAAACTGAAATCAAAAGCTGAAATTCAAGGTGCTGCAATGAGTCCTGAAGAAGTTTCCACCTTCGATCCCATGCAGTTGGATCCCGAGAGATGGCTGGATGTAATGGAGTGGCTCGACAGTCAACCAGAGAGCTCGGGGTGACTGAAAAAAATTACGTCATGTGGTTATATCTATTAAGCCGTATCGATAACTTTTGTGTGTAATTTTGACCATTTTAGTTTTACAGTTTTTGTGAGAGTTTATTGGCGTGCACAGTGGTGGTTTGTAATGTTATCGGATTACTTGCCGAAGTGGTGTGATGAGCACTGGTTGTGAGACTGTTCAATTGTAGTCGTTAAGTGTTCCTGTTGAGCTGAAGTTGGAATGCGTCTGTAGGTACATCTTTACTCAACATTTTAAACGTTTCAGTTTTCAAGTATAAAAACATCGACTTTAGATAGCCGATTTCAGGATGTACATTGATGACGCGTTCGTTGGATATATGGCCTTGACTTCAACATAGACGCACAGTTAACAAATTTGGTGAACTAATAAGGAAATGCTTTGGTATTCCTGGAACGGAAATGGTTTGCATCCTACTGGAAATGTGTGAACATAGGACATAATACATATTTCCTTCGAGTTTTGACATAAAAATGATTGCAGATTAATAAAAAGTATTTTTAACAAATGTTTGTCCGGTCTTTATTTTATAATGTTCCTAGCAAAAATATGAGAGAATTTCAGGTGGAGGATCTCCGTCACACAAGTGTGCCCTTAACCGGCAGCATCTTGGCTGTCTACCCGATTAACACGTGTTCCTTGAGGGGAAAGGTCCCCGTAGTTAATCCTTCATCAACGTACCAGTCCCAATCCGAAGTATGTCGGGGATAAACTGTACTCTATAAAATGTAAACTGTTATACTATACACGACTAGCAGTCGCCGCCCGCTTCGCGGGCGGTGTGTATATACTTGGTTGGTGGGGAGTTGAAAGTGGCTGAACACAATAGACATGTTTTGGGGATTGTTTATGTTTATTTTTGTGAGGTTATATGAATTTTTATGAGACGCTCAATCGACAATATTAAAGAATGCAACTTATTCAAATATAGAATGCAACTTATTGAAATATCTGGCGATACACGATATTCTTCGTGTACACTCCGTCTTCCTCCTCGTCATCAGGTCCTTCAATAAGCGCCTTGATGTTGGATCTTGCCGTGACTCGCCATAATGCCACGTACAGTTGGCCGTGCGAGAAACATGGCGTTGGTAGATATAATCCCAGGTTGTGAACAGTTTGCCCTTGCGCCTTGTTGATGGTCATCGCGAAGGCTGGGACAATGGGGAACTGTTTGCGCCGAAGTCGAAATGGGAAGTCATTCGTGTCGTCGTCGATGATGAAGAAGATCCGAGGGATCAACACCTCCTTACCGTTATGGGTTCCTGTCAGGATAGTCGCGCGAATGGCGTGTGGCTTCATTTCCACGATGCGAAGCCGTGTTCCGTTGCACAGGCCAGCGTCCAGGTTCAAGTTGCGCATCATCATCACTGGGATGCCTTTCTTAAGATCAACTTGTGTGGCGGAACCCCGTTGATGTTCACCGAGTTAAGGAGCTCTGTCTCAAAGAATGCTGACCCTGCTCTCTCGTCGTCCTCAACCAAATCTGTAGACAGGTACACTTGTGGAGCTTCTCTGAGGCGATCCGCGACAGCCTCATTCACTCGCTGCACAGCGGCGTTGGTCGGCGTCAGAATAGTGCGGCGAGCGAAGTAGTCGTTCGTTGCCACCGTAGGGTAATTCAATTCATCTGCACTGTACATGGCATCGAAAATCCTCTTCAACCCGAGTGGAACGGGCTGATGACTGCCGTCCTCATCTCCGTCGATGTCTGGGTCGTATTGAGGATTGTCGATCACCATGGCACGCGGAATCTTGATGCAATCCGGACCGAGGTCTGGATCAACTTCATGCCTACCCTCTCCGACTTCCAAAAGAAAATCTGAAAAGGCAGCAAGTTCTGCGGCTGATTCTTGGTTCTCTGCACACTGGACTCTCATCTTCACAGTCAGATGAACTTGCTTGATGTGGGACCACAGGTCGGACGACTTGAAACACGCATCCACAG